AGGATGCTCGGCAAACTCAAGTCTTGTTCCACACTAGTCTGGTTTCCACCTAGAATTTATTCACAAAGTGGGATGCCTGTTACTGCATCTCCTGTCAATACCTGGCTACAGTCAAGCACGCCTGCAATTTAGGGGCATCGGCTTGACTACACTGGTAAATTAAAGCATCCATTTTCCCTGGCTCTGGAGGAACAGAAAACATCTGGGGAAAAGATACAGGCAACAGGCTGACACATATTTGCTTTCCAAGCAGTGAAACATCTACAGCTTTCCAAAGCAAGAACTTATGTCACCCATAGTATACATAATGGCCTCCTGAAGTATGTCACACAAGCATCCAGCAGCCCTAATAACAACAACATCACAGAATTCCTCAAAATAATTCAGTTCTGGCACAAGGACCAGAGGATGTCAAATGAAATTACCCCAAGGAATGCTCAAAACAGTTGCCCTCTGTTCACTCTCCTTGTTGTGCCTACAGATGCACCGAGGTCAGTTGGAGGCTCCTCTCAAACGTTTATTTTTTTGGAGGAAGGGCTGTAGTCTGCTCATTCATCCTTCAGATGGAAGGCAGCCCATATCTTTGGTTATTCACACTACCCTTGTTCATGTGCTTTTCGATTCCATATTTTTCTCCAGAGGAAGCAGAACTGCCCTCAAAATGCAAGTGCAGGTGCACAGCTGGCATGGCCCAGCAAGGACACCTGCAACAGCAACACTAATTGCTACTATCAGTTGGCTTTTGATCCTGAGTATTGAGATGTTAGCTCAAAATGTTTAACCTCAAATTATTTCATCTAAAGAACAAGATGGGCCCACCATCATTTACAGAAAATTCAAACTGCCCATCTGCTCATGGGACCAGTTCAAGTTTGTCCACATTGATCATCAGCCAATTTATTGTGTGGTCTCTCATGACATCTTCAGCTTTGTTTTTCACAGAATCATTGAATGGTTTGGGTTGGAAGGAACTTTAAAGGTCACCTAGTTCCAAGCCCCTCACCATGGGCAGGGACACCTCCCACGAGACCAGGTTGAACAAGGCCCTGTCCAACCATGTCTTGAATGCCTCCAGTGATGGAGCACCCACAGCTTCCCTTGGCAACCTAGGCCAGTGTCACACCACCTTCATAGTAGGCACTATTATTTCCTAATTTCTAATCTAAATCTCCCCTCTTCCAGTTTGAAGCCATTACACTTTGTCTAATCACTACAAGCCCTTATAAATAGTCTCTCTCCAGCTTTCTTGTAGGCCCAACCTCAACCTATTTAACCTCAACAGCTCAATACCTTCAGCACCATTCACTGGGTGTCAAACCTGTATCCCACCACTTTCTTCTAAGACTCCAGAACCACATTTTACAGTAACAGGCAGAACCTGCCCTGGATAGCATCCTAAATTTTATTAACAAAAAAACGGTAAAAATAGCAAGTGACAAAGTTGAATGACAAGTCACAGAAATCAGTGTCACTAAACACAAGCTCATGCACTGTGGGGTGGAGACTTTAGAGGGAACACCAAATTATGTGGAACACCATCAGCTCCTAACATTCAGGAAACCTCTTGGAGTCCCAGTGAAACAGTCTCTATATCTGCAGCCAAATGCTCAGAAGCATCCAAGAAACAAACACAGGATCAGAACCCCTACAGGAAGAAGTGGTGAACAACCAGAGAGACCTCTCTATGCCACAGCACAGAGCTATGGTGCTCACCTACCACCCTGTCTCCAAAGTTACAAGTAGCCTAGAGAAGGGTAATGGCAAAAAATCGATAGAATATATTCCTTAGGAGGCACTAAACACAGATGGATCTTCAGCCTCAGAAAAACAAAAATCAAACAAAAAACAGCCCAGAGGAGTCTAAAGAACAAAGATAACTGGCAGTTTGACACTGAAAAGTTACTCACGAGTATCTAAAGGAAACAGGGTTAAGGAGATGTACACAGAAAACATCAATTAAAGGAGCAGAGGCAAATATAAATAAGAGAAGGGAGGAGACTTTCTATGTGTTTTTTTAAATAAACTATAGAACTCGTGATCACAGAACGATCACAGAATACTCACAGAATCCTGAGGGTTGGAAGGCACCTCTGGAGACCATCTCGTCCAACCCCCCTGCTCCAGCAGGTCACCCACAGCAGGGTGCCCAGGATGTTGTCCAGGAGGGTTTGGAAGCTCTCCAGAGGAGACTCCACAGCCTCTCTGGGCAGCCTGCTCCAGGCTCAGGTGCCTTCACAGCAAAGAAATTTCTCCTCCTGTTCAGGTGGAACCTCCTGGGTTCCAGTTTGTGCCCATTGCCCCTTGTCCTGTCGCTGGGCACCACTAACAAGAGTCTGGCTCCAGCCTCTTGCCCCCCAGGGCCCTTTAGCTCTTGATCAGATCCCCTCTGAGTCTTCTCTTCCCCAGGCTGAACAGCCCCAGGGCTCTCAGCCTTTCCTGGCACAGTGACGCCCCAGGCCCCTCAGCAGCTTCACAGTCTACATTGGGTTCTCTCCAGCAGCTCCTTGTCTCTCTGGAACTGGGGAGCCCAGCACTGGACCCAGTACTCCAGAGGTGTCTTCCCTAGGTCAGTAGTAGAGGGAGAGAAGAACCTCCCTCAACCTGCTGACACCACTCTTCTGAATGCACTCCAGATATTAGAGAGGTGAAGAATAAAAACAGCCCCTCAAAGGGAAGATGCAAATTCAAAGTCAATGGCCTCACTGACCTTCTGGCACCTCTAGGCACATGGCCAACATAGATCTAAGAAACCAAAATACAATGGACAACTGTCACCAAAAAAAACCAAGCCAAACAACCACCACACTGCATCTCCAAACGAAAGAACCAGGAGAGGAGAACAAAGAATGGCCAAGACAAACACAACGGAGTGAGCTAAAAAGGTCCAAACCTTAGTTTGGCCAAGGAACCAAAAGTATTAGTTCCAAGAAGGAAGTAACACTTGGTCCAGGAAGTGCCAAATTTGGGCATTTTTTACTTCTTTGTCTCCTCTGCATACCAAGGACTTACTGAAGAGTGCTCATGGGAGGAAGTAACAGAATTCACAAAGATGCCAAATCTGGGCTCTCCTCACTGGCCTCCTACACAAACACCAATACTCCTCAGCTTCATTTAACTTGGATACTCCAATTAGTAACACAGACTGGCCTGACAGCTTTAAGGTATAAAAGACTCAACGACTCCCCTGACAACACTTCAGGGAGCTAATTTTTAAATTACTTTTTAAACAATCCTAAGGCAGCTTAATACTCTTAAAAACTTAACTTTAAACTCCTTCTATCCATCATTAATATGTCAACATACCTGTCACACCTAAAATACATGAACAATCATTAATATATTCTGCTTTTTGACAGTTATTTTACTGTTGTTTCAGAATCATAAACTTAGCCACTCATTAACACTTTCCCAGTGGGCTCCATCCCACAAAGTCATGGTGCTCAGGAATCTAAAAGCTCTCCTCTCTTTTTTAAAGAGGAAGAGGTTATAAAATATTTCCAGTGAGGAATACAAGCAGAAGCCCAATTTGCAAATCTGGGTACCCACTTTTTCTAGAACTGAGATTCTTAAAGGGAGTTTATGACTGTACTTGGTAACTGGGCTGGTAGAGGAGCTGCTTGGCAACTGAGATCTCCCACCATGACCAGAAGCACGTCAGCAGGAGCTGTGTCAGGCAGGCAGCCGGCCGCTCTGCGGGGCGAGGGGACACCCAGGGAGGAGCCAACAATGTGCGGAGAGCCGCAAAAGCAGCGTGGGCAGCAGGGCAGGGAGGGGATCCTGCCCCTCTGCCCCGCTCTGGGGAGACCCCCCTGCAGTGCTGGGGCAGCTCTGGAGTCCTCAGCACAGCAGAGACAGGGACCTGCTGGAGCGGGGCCAGAGGAGCCCCAGCAATGACCCGAGGGGGGAACCCCTCTGCTGGGAGCCCAGCAGGAGAGAGTTGGGCTTAGGCAGCCTGCAGAGGAGAAGGCTCCAGCTGGGGAGATCTCATGGTGGTCTGCCAGTATCTGAAGGGGGCCTACAAGAAAGCGGGGGGGGGGACTTTTTATGAGAACTTACAGTGATAGGATGTGAAGTAATGGGTTCAAACTGGAAGAGGGGAGATTTAGATTGGAAATGAAGTTTTTCACTGTGAAGTTGGTGAGACACTGGCACACATTGCCCAGGAAGTTGTAGGTGCTCCATCCCTGGAGGTGTTCAAGACCAGGCTGGATGGGCCCTTGTGCAACCTGGTCTAGTGGGAGGTGTCCCTGCCCAAGGCATGGGGGTTTGAACTGGATGATCTTTGAGGTCCCTTCCAACCCATTATATGATTCTATGATCTTCTGCCTAGAATCTATTCCCCCAGGTTCCTCTCTCTGTAGCAATCTAAGAAAACCATCTCGCCATCCTCAATTTTGTCACGTACTAAGCTCAGGAGAAAACACAGACCAGTTTCAGAAATGCTCCCTTCTCCAGGTTTAGGCAGCAAGTGGCCCTTTGCCTGACATCACCTTGTCTTTCAGCAAAGGTGTTTTCCAGACCATGTTTGGATTTCTATCAGAAATCAGATGAGGTGTGGACACACTACATTTCAAAAACCCCGGTGTGAGTTTCAACAGGGAAGTACTGAAGAGCAGCTGACCACAGCTGGGGTCTCCCCAGCTTCTCCCCACAGCCGTCCCAGTCTTGTCCCCCCGCCTTCTGCCCTGTCCTACAAGAGGAGATCTCCTCTTTCTTCAGACACACTGTCTTTTAGAAGACTGGAAGTAGTTTTGGAAAGCTGACAGAAAACAGGAAGGATTTTAAGACCCAGAATCCCAGATGTTTTTTTCACCCCGGTCACATCACCACCCTGCAGATGACACCCAGCTTCTGGTCACTACCACAACCCACCCATGGACAGCTTCTCGTTCGACTTCACCTCACCACGACCCACCCACGGAGAGCTTCTTGTTCAACTTCATCTCACCACGACCCCCCCACGGAGCGCTTCTTGTCCGACTTCCCCTCACCCCGCTCACCTCGCCCGAGTAGCTGTACTTCCCCTTCAGGATCTGCCGATAGAGGCGGGTGCGGTTGTCGTCCTCGAAGGGCATGGTGCCGCTCAGGAGGATGTAGGAGATGACGCCCAGCGCCCACATGTCCACCGAGTTGGTGTACGGCTTCCGGACCAGGATCTCGGGAGCGATGTACTCCGGGGTGCCGCACGTGGTCTTCATCAGGCAGTCGTCCCCCTTCTTGCGAGCGCTCGCCAGCCCGAAGTCCGTGATCATGATTTTGGAGTCCGTCCCCGGGTGGTAGTAGAGCAGATTCTCCGGTTTCAAGTCCCGGTGGGTGATGCCCAGGGTGTGCAGGTACCTCACCCCGTCCAGCACCATCTGCAGCACGCGGGTGGCGTCCCTCTCGGTGAAGGAGCCCTTGGCGATGATCCGGTCGAAGAGCTCCCCGCCCGTGGCCAGCTCCATCACCATGTAGACGCGGTCCTGGGTCTCGAAGACCTCGATGAGCTGGATGATGTTGGTGTGGCGCACGCGGCGCAGCACGCTGAGCTCCGACTCGCACACCTCCCGCCCCTCCCGGCACTTGGTCTCGATCATCTTGATGGCGTAGGGCTGCTTGGTGGCCTTGTGCTCCACCCGCACCACGCGGCTGAAGCTCCCCCTCCCGATCAGGGCCTTGACGTCGTACTTGGCCGTCACCCTGGGGTCGAACTTGGCGCGGTATTTGGCCACTTTGTTCCGGCGGGGCTCGGGCTGGGGCAGGTGGTTGCCAGGAGAGGGGGGAGCGTGGCGGGGGGGTGAGGGGGAGCCCGTTTTGGTGACGGTGCCACGGTCATCTCTGATGAAATGCTTGTAGACGTCGCTGTGGCCCGTGTAAGGTTCGACTTTTTTAACCAGGTCTAGCTGCACGTCTTTGGGGGGCTCGGGAAGCACTTTGCTTGTCCCGCAGCCCATCACTGAATGGTGTCACTTCCCTCTCAAGGCATTTTCCCAGGGCAGCAGCAACCACAGCTGGGGCAACTCCCATAGGTGAACCTTGGGAAAGGAATGAGAAGAAACAGACACGTAGGAATAAAGGTAGTAACGTTTTCAAAAAAAAAATCCAGGTGGTTCAGATTTCAACAGAGCCAAGAATATGGGATTTTCCCACGCTACACTGCAGGGCTTTGCTGCTTTCATCAAGAGCTAGTGGAGATGGTGGCTACAAAAAGTCATGGCTGGAACAGGGGTCCGTGGAAATCACATTGGATGTCTTTTTATTACATGAAATTTGTTTAATGCTCCCAGCTGAGCACTGAATCCACTGGGTCACAGGATGGCTGAGGGTGGAAGGGACCTCTAAAGATCATCTTGTGGAGCCCAAATTCATTAATAAAAATGAAATTAAGGAAAGAGTTGAGCCATCTTCCTCAATACTGTTTAATCTGCTCAACTTCCTAAGACAGCAGCCACGGTAGATCTTATAGTTCTGAATTTTTTCACTAGAACTGAGAGAAAAAAAAAAAACAACAAAACTTGGACAGGCTGGAGAGCTGGGTGGAGGGGAACCTCATGAAGTTCAACAAGGGCAAGTGTAGGGTCCTGCACCTTGGAAGGAATAACCCCACAGACCAGGGCAGCTGAGGGGTGACCTGCTGGACAGCAGCTCTGCAGAGAAGGACCTGAGAGTGCTACTGAACAAGTTGCTCGCAATGGGCCCTTGGGGTCAAGAAGGCCAATGGTCTCCCGGGGTACATTAAGTGTGGCCAGCAGGTTGAGGGAGGTTCTCCTCCCCTTCTACACTGCCCCAGTGAGGTCACCTCTGGAGTACTGGGTCCAGTGCTGGGCTTCCCAGTTCCAGAGAGACAAGGAACTGCTGGAGAGAGTCCAGTGGAAGCTACAAAGCTGCTGAGGGGCCTGGAGCATCTCTGTGCCAGGAAAGGCTGAGTGCCCTGGGGTTGTTCAAACTGAAGAGAAGCCTGAGAGGGGATCTGATCAATGCTGAGCAATGGCTGAAGGGCCCATAGGGAGCAAGAGGCTGGGGCCAGACTCATCAGTGGTGCCCAGTGACAGGACAAGGGGCAACGGGCACCAACTGGAACTCAGGAGGTTCCATCTGAACAGGAGGAGAAAATTCTTTGCTGTGAAGGTGCCTGAGCCTGGAGCAGGCTGCCCAGAGAGGTTGTGGAGTCTCCTGCTCTGCAGAGATTCCAAACCTGCCTGGATGTGATCCTGGGCACCCTGCTGTGGGTGACCTGCTGGAGCAGGGGGGTTGGACAAGATGATCTCCAGAGGTCCACAGCAGCTTTTATCTATCAATTCCCTCTCCCTTCAAACCCTAAATCAAATTAGACTTTGACATCTTTTCACATTCTGTCTCAGCTCTGCTTTATTTTACATCTTCAGGCACTAAGCAGCACTTCTGGTTTTCCATCTGGAGCTGTGGGAAGCGGAACCTCTAGCAGCTGTTCCAGCCTAGAGCAGAGGCAGGTCTTGCCCTCCCACCCTGTATTCCACCAGAACCAAATCAGCTGCACTTCAGCAGGTCTTTAGGTGCTGATTCTAACAGGACTGATAGGAGAGGGAGAAACCACCCCAGTGTGCTATGGCAGTCAGCCCAGCAGTTTAAATTCCCACTCTTGGGCTCAGAGCCCATCAGCATTGTGCCAAAGCCTTCACAGAAGGCTACAGAAAAGCTCTCAGCCTTGCAACGTGCCTCTACACCTTACCATCACCCAGCGTGTCTTCACTCATTCACCCCCTCTCCGAGCAACTGGTCAGCACAAGGAGCAGAATGGGAACCTTGGCTGGTATTCCATCAGGAGAGTTACATGGAGAAACAAGAAATGTTTTAGAGGCACATCCAGAAGAAGTTTAGACTCTACATCCAACCTAGAAAGAAAACAACGCTTTACTTAAGATTTCATTTTAAAAATCAGACATCACTAAAGGACTTCTCAAGGAAGACTTCCTGGCACTACTGCAAAGTCAAGAACACCAAGTGGGCACAGATGTGACTATACCAGGGTGCAAGCAGTAGAAATAAAAAATAATTTCATAGAAATTTATAGAAAAATTCGTAGAAAGCTTAAGTGACTTTCACCAAGGGCTGTCCTGTAACTGGGTGTCCAAACAAAAACAAAAAATAAAGAGCTGTGGCCAGCCCTGAGCAATGCCTCCCATGGAGAGTTTTTCCCCAAGGTTATTGTCTGTTAAAACATATTAACAGAGATATGCAACACTAACACTCACAAACAAGATGGTTACACAGTAATTCTACACAGAGAGGAGCATTTGTGTAAAACATCTCACCCAAACCCAAGAAGGATTAAATGCAGAGCTTGAAAATGTCCTTGCAACCCCGGGTAACATTAACTGAGAGGAGGCACCAGCTGCCAGTGTCCCTGTGGCTCCTCCTCGTCAGCTAAGGGTCTCAGTGGAGCCAACAGAAGCCCAGAACTGCCCACCACAGCCAGCAATAAAATGCTTAACCCCACATGGGTGCTGCTCCGGCCAATTCCGAAATGTCCTCCACCTCTGTGAACATATCAGGGCCTGAATACTTTCATACCTGAAGGTGTCCCTGTGGATACAGTGTCAGTGATCTGGCTAATCTCCCCAAAGCCCAGGAGGCCTTCCACCCCAAATTCAATATCTCATCACTCACAGCTACTTAATTTTGCTTCTCTGCAAGAAGCAAGGAGGGAAATCTGAAGACACCAGTTCTGAAGGACGTCCAGAAACCCACACAGCAACCTTCCAACCTCACCGACGGCAGCACAGCGCTTCTGAAAGCACTTTACCTCCCCTTCTAAGACCAATTCTCAAACGTGCCTCTGACTACCTGGCACAGATCTGGGGCTAACAGTCCCCTGGCTAGCGGCGATGGCCTCGGCCGGGTTTCAGAGGGGAAACCCGTGGCTGGGGCTGTGGCAGCACCTCAGGCAGCTGTGCCA